AACAAATTCAGCTAAATGACGTCTATGATTTTCATGAGAGTAATGAAATAAAGAAGAAGACGTACCTGCACCTTGAGTGGCTGAGGCGGATGCTCCGCTGCTACATGGGAATTGCGTCTGTGCCGTGTCGATTCCCATTATTGTCGGATGAACATTCTTCAAATGTCGGGTCAACGTTCTGTACCCGTCGCCTTTTTTGAACTGATACTTCATCTTCGAATTGGCCGGACAGTAGTTGCAAATAGCCAAAAAATAAGGATCACCTCCTTTCTTTTCATTTGGAGCCTTCGTGTAATGTCGGTCGAACATGACGGAATCCCGAGTTTTGACTTTACCGCCCCCGACAACTCAGACCGGCTGTGTGGGTTGTTGTGGCTGCTCATCCGGAGGAGTACTTCCAAATAGATCGTCGAGATGGTCCTCGTACGGCTGCTCTTGGTCTACCTCGTGTACACCCGTTGTCGGTTGGACTGAGGGTGGAGGCTAAACGACATCGAACATTCGATCGATTGTGGCGGCATCTATATCGTCGGTCATGCCCGGGAAATCTACATGTATCGTTGGACTCGCAAATGAGGGCAATGGAGGTGTCGAAGACGATGCGCCTTGCCGTTGCCGCTTTTGCCCGGAGGCCCCGAACTTCGAACCACGGCCACGACCAAAAAAGCTCGACATTTTGAATTTAAAAAATAATATTCAACAAAAAAAAAACAAAAAGGAAGAGAGATTAGGGAGAGGAAGAGAGATTAGGTAAAATTTATATTAAAAATTAAGTAGATATATAATTTTTTTAATTAAAGAGAGACTAGGGAGAGAGATTATAGAGTAATGGAGAGATTAGAGAGATTGAGAGAGAGTGTGGGAGAGAGATATGAAGATAGTGAGTGAGGTGTGTGGAGTGAGAGGGGGGGTTTTATAGGTGAAAATTTTTCAAATTTTCAGATTTTTTTTTTTCGGTAACCCGCCGGGTTCCGGGTCGACCCGGAGGGCCGACGGGCCGCTTCAATATGGACCGTCGGATCGCCAACGGCTAGATGATCAGACAATATACAAATTTCCTTTTTTTTTTTTGTTTTTGAAA